CCACTGGTGAAAGTGGACTGTGAGTGAGGACTAATCCCATTTACAGGAGATTGCCAATCAGAGATAGTCTTAGGGACCAACATATACTGCTAGGCTCTAAAATCGCGGCAAATACACATAAATGAGTCACGTCTCGGTGAGCGCGTGCTAGATTTGTCTCTTTTTTTCGCGTTGCTGTGGTTGCCAATGAGTTCGACTATTCCTGTTGCTCATTTGAGAGTGGTGTTAACCGGTCCTGTCGACTTTCTGGGACAAACACGAACTCTCCGTCCACTGTTAAGGCCTGGATGGCCCACCTAGATTTACTGTCTTAAGCCAACGAGCCATCCATGGTGTAACCGCAGGCTTGAAGAACCTCAACTTTTATGCTGAATTTAGTTGCCCATTAAACCACGACCTTCCTCCTGCGGTTGCCGCCTGCTCGTCGTTGTGTTGCTATCCATTGTAAGGACAACTTAACGGGACGCCATATTCCGTATTATAGTCGGGTTACATCAGTGCATCCCACCCTCACGTGATTCAGTGTTTCCGGTCGCATCCAGAAAAACGTGAAAACATGACTAAGTCATTGGAGCTATCAACTCAATGACCACTGGCACGTTGGCTAAGATGACAATTTGCCATGTCGGTTATCTGTCAAGATGAGCATCTTTTTCCTAAGATGATTGGTGTGGCATTAATGTTATTGGGACGGTTTTCCTCTTTGCAGTCAAATTCAGAACTAGTGTTGTTGCAAACTACCTCCTGTCTGTAATGTCGCTTTTTTTTCAATCGATTCACCATCCCCTCACGTTCTGGTATAAGTGTTTTTATGCTGATAGACCTAATCATTACACTCCATATTCCCTCTAAGGGTCTTTTCCTTCCCCAATTTTATCGTTCAGTATTGTTATTAACCAGTCTTAGGCGAGATGACTGCCTTCCTCTTTGGCCTATATTCTCGAGGTATGATGATGATGATGATGATGATGCCAGCGATGGAAATGCTTGCACACTTAATTTACCTCGAAATCTCGACCTCCCACATCCGCGTGCGTCCTAATCACTTACTGACTGCGTGGTAGACCTTCGGGCTCGGCAACCTATTTGATAAGCCAAATAAGCGTCACAAGGCTGTGTTTTGTCGCCGTTCCCCCACTCTGTGGCTCGTGACGTGATGGCTGAAGGACTTACCTCCACGCCTAGGCTCGCTTATGCATTGTTTACCAACATTCCATCCTCCCCTTGCATTTGGAGCAGAATATGCGTACGTGCGCGCAAATGCGCACGCGTACGCGCACACCCCATCGTGCTGTCGCAATTTATCGATGTTTCACCAAGACGGTCTTTTTTTCTCTCCATCATCATCATCCTCGTCACGTTGCAGGCCTTTTAAGGGCGCAGTTGCTGCTGCTGCTACTGAAAAATCGTCTGGTCAAACACACACACACACACAATCAAGACTAGTCCTGCGCCCTCCTTATCGTGCTCGTGATCGCGCGTGCACACACGCGGTAGTTTGACCGTGTCACAATTGCCGTGGTCCAAAATTACAACCCCACACAGTCGA